AGTATATTTCTACAAATTCAACCAACCAACCAAAAACCCAGAACAGACAAAAACAAGAGCAAAAGGTATGGCATGTTTTTTATTTATGTGTTATACTGTGCAAAGGAATATTCTGGTTCACTAATCCAATGAGTACATTTCTCCCACAAATCTTCTGTAATTTTAATAAATACTAAGCCAAAATATTAACATCTTTCAATTCAATAATTTACAAAATGAGAAATATGTCACACATAAGTAATATTGAATGCTAACAGCTCTAGAATGGACATGTTTAGTATACATAATAGAACGGAGTTTTTAATATTTTTTTGTTATTAACTAATTTTTAAAAATTCAGTATATAATTTATACATAGGAAACATACCAATTCAAAAACAACAAAAACCTTAATCAGATCTAGGCGTTTCTTTGTGTAAAACCGCTCATGGTTTACAATGCTCTTAGAATAAAATTCCATATCCTTAGCATGTCTTCTAAAGCCCTAAGTAATTTATATCTTCCCTACATCAATCTCACATCCTCCTGCTAGAGCTACGTTAGGCCTAGTTTCATTTCCTTGAATTTGACACACTCATTGTCATCTCTGAGTATTGTCCTGGGCAATTTCCCTTGCTCTTACCCCACTCTTTTCCCAGACTTTGATTGGCTAGTTGCTTCTCTTTACTCAGGTTTCAACTTATATAACCCTTACTTGGAGAGGTGTTTAAAATGGCATCCTCATATACCAAAAATGTTTTGCAATTTATACATTTATGTGGTCACTCATTTATTATACTCATTAAAATTCATAAGTAATAAAATGTTTTAAGGAAAAAGCAAAAAGTAAATAAAATGGTATCCCCATGTTATCTCATCTCCTTGTTTGGTTTGCTATTTAAAGTAGCTCTCTTACTTGAGCACCACTTAAACATTAATCCATGCTCTCCAGTCCTTTGCAAAGTATGTTATATGCACAAGGCAAACTTAATGATTGCCATTAATGAGTTACTCTTTATTATGCCCATATTAGTTTATCATGTCAATTGCATTTGTTCCTAAATTTATGTTAGTTGTACTTATTACTGTAATACATAGATATTGGCATAGCCATAGGTATATAGATGTAAATAGTATGTATGTACATATAGAATGATTGCAAAAATAGTTATTTCTAAGCAAAAATAGTTATTTCTAAGAAAACCATGCTGAATATATGTTCATCATGTCAATTGTGATAGTAAATCAGCTTACCAATTATACTAACTTTTCTAACATATATAGTGATAGATATTGTTAAAATGAGTGTGAAAAAGTTATTTCTACAAAAACTATGTTGAATATTTTGAAAAGATCTGATAAAATTTGAGTGGCTAAAAATGGATAGCTGTTAAATTTTGTGGGGGCAAGATAATTGAAAAAATACTTTAAAAATCTTTAAAATCTAGAATTAGGTATTCAAATTACATTGTAAGTATCAAATTCTTTGTTCCATTTTAAAGGAATTTTGAAACTAGTAATCATAAACAAAGCATTATTTCAAAACCTTCAATTTCCTCTGAAATTTTTCAGATAATGGAAAAACCTTTGAGGAAACTTAACCTGAAGGTTGGTACTGTCTTAGCTGTTCTCCTTCCATCTCTACAGGGATTACCCAGGAAAGTCACTAACATGCCTCCATCCTAATCCTCCTCCTACCCTCTCCCTCCTTCTTTCAGCTCAAGGATACTGAATATGCTTTAAACTCTTGCTAATTCAAATAGGATCCTTAGACTATCAGCATCAGCATCACGTGGGAAGCCTGTTGTTACAAATGCAGAATCTGAGCCCCACCCCAGATCTGCCCAATCAGAATATGCATTTTAATAAGATCCCCAGATGATTCACATGCCAGTAAAAGTATGAGAAGTACAGCTTAAAAACTAATTCTAAAAGAAATAAAA